ACAAGGCGGAGGATTAGCCTAGTGAGCCGCGGCACCGGCCCTCACTCCCTGCTTTCAACACAGATTTCCCTCCCTCAGTACCACACCTGGTCAGGGCGTTGCCAAGCTCCAAGGGGTCTGTTCCATACATTCAGCTTCATGAACACCATCACCTTTCCAAAGTTGTTCTATAATGCCTGGGTGAGCACAGCCTATAGCATTGGCAATATGCAGTGCATAGAATCATGCAGCCTCTTTAATGGCCCCACTCTTGAACAAATCATCTGCCTAGAGTCTTTCCCTCATTTTGATGATTTTTTTCCCTTACAGGTCCCTTATTTGACCTCGACTCAGGCCCTACTTATCCATTAGAAAGTTTTCATTACACTGATTTCCGATTAAGGGAAGGGATAGATTCCAAACCCTTTTGTCCCAGGAGGGTCTTTTGCTCCATGGAAATTCATAAATAGGAATTATAATTAGAGTGAGATAGATGTCCAATTGCCTCTGGCATTTGAAACCCTAATGTAAATGGCACTATTATGGTGACAAGCCTCTGTAACATCTAATTTGTAGCTGAGAACATCCAACAGTCAAGCCCTCAAAAGTCCAAAAACAGACGATGTGAGGACACTGCTCAGGGGAGGGTGAAGAGCAGATCTTCCTGGGGCTCTCTGTGCAAATCCAGGTACCAGAAACAGTGCACTCTGCTGTGTGTGCTCTTGTTAAACAAGATCTAATGAAGGATTTTTAAGAATTTTTAACATCGCTTTCCCTCTATTTGATAATCCATATGCAAAATTTTGATGACACAACACTAGAGAGAAAAGCTGGCATTGTATCTAAAACATGTTGTGGCGGTGAGCAATCCTTACTGTGTGACTGTGGGCAAAGCTGTTCCTGTGTCTAGAACTACGAAACGGGTAGGGCAGGCCCTAATTCGGAACCATGTGACCTCCAGCGCAGTAAGGATAAAATGTGCTCTCATCCTGTATCTCTCCTACCTGAGGGATCTGCCTTGGCTCACAGCCAAGCACAAGATGACAAACTCCAGGCTTCTTCCCCAAGGCAGGAAGTCCTCCGTGACTTCAGTATGAATAGGTCATCTTCTATCCAAAAAGAAAGGATTTTTTAAAAATTATTCATTTTTACTTATCTGAAAGGCAGGGAGCAAAAGAGGGAGAGTCTTCCATCCAGTTGCCAAATGCCTGCAACAACTGGACCTGGCTCAGGCTGAAGCCAGGAGTCTAGAACTCAATCTAGGTCTCCCACATGGGTGGCAAGGACCCAGGTAACTGGACCATCACCTGCTGCCTCTCAGGGTGCACCTTAGCAGGAAGCTGAAATTGGAAGCAGAGCTGACACCGAAACCAAGGCACTCCAATATGGAGTGCCTGCATCCCAAGCAGCATCTTAACTGCTGCACCGAATGTCCACCCTTCAGTAAAGAAATGTTAAGAATCTGGAGATAGGAAGGGGCAGAAAGAGTAAGCATCCATACTCTACCAGTTGCATAACTAAAGTGTAAGGTATGCTGCTTCAACATGGTGTCTCACCCATCTCTCTCTTGCCTTCTGTCTCCCATGTTTGTGCTGCCTGCACTCTTGACACTGTGCCTGGGCCCTGTGCTCATGCTCCCCTCCTTTGTAGCACAGCTCAATGATTCTGGTTTCATACAGAAACCACACCTCACAGTCAGGCTTTTCCTGTACAGTTTGTTAGCAGCACTTGGGTGTCATTAGTATCTTTTTTTTTTTTTTTAAACTTTTATTTAATGCATATAATTTTCCAAAGTACGACTTATGGATTACAATGGCTTCCCCCCCATACCGTCCCTCCCACCCACAACCCTCCCCTTTCCCACTCCCTCTCCCCTTCCATTCACATCATGATTCATGTTCGATTATCTTAATATACAGAAGATCAGCTTAGTATACATTAAGTATGGATTTCAACAGTTTGCTCCCACACAGAGACATAAAGTGAAAAATAATAGATGATTTTTTTAAATGATGATGAAATCAGAGCAGACCTATTGTCATGTTTAATCCCAGTGAGAGTCAAGTTGGGAATTGATAATTTCTTTTTTTTTTTTTCTTTTCTTTTTTTTTTTACAGAGGATCAGTTTAGTATGCATTAAGTAAGGATTTCAACAGTTTGCACCCCCATAGAAACACAAAGTGAAATATATTGTTTGAGTACTCGTTATAGCATTAAATCTCAATGTACAG